ATAGCTATACGTGGAATTTGACCTTTTGTGGTTTTAATCGTGTAATTATATCCTATCAATTCAATTATTGAAAAAAGTTGATCATTTTAGTATAAAGATGATTGGCTTTAAAAACATTTTTTGTTACGAAATTTCATGACGAGTAGAGTTAACTTTTAATTAAAAAAAAAAAAAAAAATAATAATAATAATAATTATTATTATTATTATTATTATTATTATTATTAGTTTTAATATTTGTAAAATTTTGAATTTTCGAGTTAAAAAAATGATTATGACAACTTTTTTTAACAGCAATGCTATCTTATAAAATATTAGAGTTGTTGTGATAATTAACTTCAAAAAATTTCCAAAGATAAGTTTTTTATTTTTTTAATTTAGATGATTATAAATAAATCTAAAAGAAGTGAAGGGTTTGTCGTTGTTTACTACACGGAAAAGTATTACATTAAAAAATAGAATAGTAACATCGTAATTCAGACTAGAGATTTATAATCGTTATCTTAATGATTTTATAGTTAAAAATTATCATTTACATCCCAATTTACCCTAGTAGAAATAATCAAGTTTTAACTAGATTCTAACCAGTAACTTGCAAGTCTAGTCGAACTGGCCAGTTACTAGCCAAAAACTGGATTTCATTTCTACTAGGGTTGTACGATTTAATACTTTAATTTGAACATAAGTTCCTTGAATTTAGTACAGTTTGGAAAATTACAATATTACAACGTAAAATAAAACAAAATAGAAATTCCATAAAATTTTACTTTACCGATTTAGATCCTTCAATATAAAATTTATTATCGAATTATCGAAAAAACAATGGTTCCTGATTTCTTATTGGTTAAGAACATCTTATTGCTTAAGAAGGTCACATAATTTAAATTTTTAGTATATTCTTATTTTATATTGTACTTTGTCTTGAAGTGTTTAAAACTTTATGTTATTCTGAGCAGGACAGACAATTTACTGAACAAAAATTACAATGTCGCATCGCATAAATTAGAATTTTTTCGCTCTAATTTGCTACTTTAATGTTCAATATTAGAAATTACGATAAATAATTAGATGTGAAAAACCAACCAAAAAATTTCAAAAGCTACTTAAAATAGACTCATTTTCGATATTTTTTTAATGAATTATTCGGCATCACCCAGTATGAAAAAGGAGATTTCTCAATTGTCGCACATAGTATGAATTGAAATTTTTAATACTAACTTTGAAGCGGACATAACCCAACAAAATGAGATAAATTGAATAAATAATACAACAGGCCAATTTCTAAAAAAAAAACTACTTTGAAAGGAAAGCTAGCCACAGTGAAAGAAATTTTCTTTAAAAATTACTATTAGATTCACGGTAATCGTGGGACGGATGGCACGACGTAATCATTCATCGGTAAGTGAGATAATTTTTAATTTCTTTTCAACTAATTTTACCGTAGTCTACTGTAAATTTTATTAAGTCTACCATCAAAAATATGAATTTTTTGGTATTTTTTATTTAAAAAATGGTAATAAATAAAAGGGCTGCATTATGTTCCACGATTACAGCGAATTTAACGCCAATTTTAAAAGAAAATTTCTTTACGTGCAGATTTTAAAATAAATCGGTTTAATAGTGAGAAGTTTCTGAAAAACATGTATTTTCTAAAAAATTTCTATAAATCTACTAAATTAGTTCGTTCAGTTTCATTTTAAAAACAAGAAAATAAGACTTCAAACAACTTATAATGTATAGTTAGTAGTTTAAAATTGATAAGCAATGAGAACAAATGGTGCTGTTTATTGAAATAAAAAAAATGTCTTATATATGAATCAATACTGACATTAAAATGATTTCTGTTGTATACATTGTTATCTATCCTAAGCTTTATTGAAAGTTACGACATTGCCAGACGGGAAGCAGATCCTTAGGCTTCTCGAGTTTCCGTCTGACTATATTTGCTTGGTTACTACTATCGATCCACCACACTACTGACACTCTACTACTATACAGTTGTATATATTTCTTTACTACTCAGTAAAATCAGCACAACGTCCGACCGTCACGCCAATTTTGTAATAGTCGTCAAAAATTGTAAATACTTTGTTTTTTTACCAAGATAGTTATTATTCGAGTAAATAATAGTAATGATATTGAATAGTTTAGTATTAGCATTAATTTAATAAAAATATTATATGCAATGATAACTAAAAATTTACATCGGTGTTACAAATAAATATTAATATCAATCATTATTAATGGTATAAAAATAATATAAACTAGTATAGTATATTCTAAGGAAATTTATTATTTATTATAATAAGACAAATGATTGAACAGTTTAACTAAATGCATAGCATGACGTTTAGTTATCGGAAAATGATAAATAGAACAAGGGGCATAGAGAAAAGAGAGATAATAAATGATAGAAGGAACATTGCTCTCGTTACTAAGTGGGCATCTAACGACTTGACGCAAATACATCTAAATGAACACGTCTAAATTAGCGGTGGTGGTAATGAGCCAAGACTTTTGCTCGAGAGTGACCTACATGTTCGATCGATAAATCGACACATCTTGTCGGGCAAATCTCGATATTTATTTTACATATTAATACAACTCATCAATTATTAAAAATATATCCACATTGCGTATAAACACGATGTTATTTAGACTAAATAAATTTTGATATATTTTCTATACAACTTTTAAATAGTTGTAATACTTGTGGCAGATATTAAATAGTTGTCAAATGAGAATTTCTTGAGTTGTGCGGTGGCTTCTGTGGGAATTCTTAGAATTAGCATTTCAACTATACGAATTTCGAGCAGACCGGAAAGACCTTAGAGATATCTCGCGTTAAGGATCGGATAGAATCTTCAGCCAATCTCGTCTGCCCCACAACTATTCAATGTCTATATTCACTACTTTGTAAGCCCTACACACAACTCCAAATATCTCCAAGCAGAGCATAGAAAATGACATTTGGGCCATTTTTTTTTTTTTTTCGATTACAATGTAATTACTTTATAAATTACTGGCATTTATTTTGCATCGAATGTTCATTTCAATACCAATTGTTGATTGTGTATTATTTTATTTATGTATACGGGTACATATTTTTATGTATACGTGTACAAGACATTTGTGGGATGAAAGTGCTTCTATGAAAGATGGAATGAAAATGAGCAATTGAAATGAAGAATTCTTAGACAATGAGCCATTCAAAAAATATAGAAGAAAATATTAAAAAGCTTTACCTTTTGTCTTTTGTCGACGTCATTTTCTTTCATGAAAATTAACTCCATCAAGTTTATTTATAGGAAAATTTTATATTTATAAAATATTGGAGTTTTTTAATTTTAATAAAAATATTTTAGCATAATCACGTTTTTTAAAGTACATTGTCGGATTTTGCGAGTCATAAGTATAAAAATTGTGATTTATTGTTGCCCAAAAATTATAACATAAAAAATTTTCAACTTTGAAGAATACAAAAATTCGAAAAATTGACATATCTACAATTTTTTTGATTTTAATTTATCTACTTTTGATGCACAAGATGAAAAAATACTAACAAGATTGAAAAAATGAATAAATTATATTGTTTCTTGATTGAAATTAATAATTCTATTTTTAAATTGCTTAAATTAAAAATTTTACTTTTTGGAAGATACAAAAAACTTATAAAAATATTTGTAAATTGTTTATATTCATCTAAATAATTAAAAAATCATCAAGTATTGGTTATTTTAATTACAATAGTTTGAAACTTTAAAAATAACCTTAGAAGTCTCATATGCAGAAAAAAACTTATACATTATAAAGTAGTACTATAGAATTTTCCACGAATTTCCGCTTTCCTCACGGAGTCTAAATTTATATAGTTAAAGCTGTTACTACTATACATTACATCTACTATTATTTGTACTATAATACATGTGGGTAAGTAACATGAAGCTATAGATACTGTTGAATCGATACTAGAGACAACGTTGTCAGCGACGTGTTCCCATGAGCATTTTATTTTTTTCTCCTCGTGCATGGCCACTCCCTCGATTTACGCTTTCCCTGATTTTCCGCTCACTATTTTCTCAATAATAGTATCGATACTCATCAACAACATGGATCCTTGGTATTTTATTAACATTACAAATATGTAATTCGAAAATTCGAATGTAAATTAATTGATAAAAATTAATAACTATAATAATTTAGACTAATGATTCCTGTATCTCTTAAAAAATTTAAATAATTCACAGCTGAGGCGTTGTGACTATTATTGAAGTGGGTAAAAAGCGTGAGAGCTTTTAGCAAAACTATATTTTTTGCTAGAACACTAGAAAGGCAGCGCTTTTTTATCTCAAACGTAAAGAGAGTGAGTAGACTTAAGAGAGTAAGATGAAAATAAAAAAAATAAAAAATGAATAAACGAGAGAGAGGGAGAAAGTGCAGCAGCGCAGACTTTTGCATCAGCCAATCGGGCGACTGTATCGCAGCTTTTTCTTTCAGAAGCGCTTGTTTCAGGTGGTACATAAAGGGTGCACGTGCGAATGTATTGAATGTCTCAACGACACAAGCTCCCAGTGCACGGCCGTCTATCGATCCGATGTAACCTACGCTTCTAAGCCTCTTTCTCTCTCATTTTTCTCATACTCTCTTACTCTTCATACTTTATACTCCCTTATTGCGCACTACCCCAGCCTTATCAACTCTCTCGAATGTCATATATATTTCTTTTTTTTCTCTCTCTCTCTCTCTCTCTCTCTCTCATTTTCCTCATCCCCCTCGGAAACTATGCTTTCACCCTTTTCAGTGCCAAACTACTTTCTGCCAAACATCACGACTAAGCTTTATACCAAATATTATATACCTACCTATGAAAATGTCAGAAATTCTTTTCAAGCTATAAATACCTATATATATATGAAGCAATTTATAAAATAATTCATTTTCTTAATTTATTATAAAAAAAAAGTAATTAAAGTATTATTATTTATTTCCAGATTTTCAGTTTCACAAACCATGATACATTCCCTCCTCTTTAAATCTAGAGAAATAGACATGTATTGATTAAAGTATATCAAATAATCAATATTATTAAACTTACAGAAACATCAATAATTAAGTGATGAAAAATTTCATCCATTAATTTTTTTTTAACTGTTTGTGAATAGTCTAAAATCAGAAAAATTGTCAAATGTCTGTTAATTTCAGTATAATAAAAAAAACTTCACCTTGAATCGATTCTTCAATAATTTTTCTCTTTATTTAAATCATGACTTACATTTTATTAAACTTTTTACAAGCAATTTTTTTTCACACGGTTTGGTCTGATTGCAATAAATTTACAAAATGAATCATACACGGAAAAAAGATCAGTAGAACGATTACAGTTCCTACAGTAACTACAGGTCTTTCGTATAAAAGAGAGTAAAGTTTACAGCTCAAACTATCATTATTAAAGTACATTCAAATATGTTTAAAAAATTACAGTTTGAACTGTGAACTTTACTCTTTTTTATACGAGTAACCTGTTCTTACTGTAGAAATTGTAATAGCTCTATTGCTACTTATTCCGTGTGGTTAAAAGATTTGTTAAAAATAGGCTGACAATTATTATCTTGAAAAATTGATTGATGATGATTCTTATTCCCGATTTATATTTTTCAACGTTGCATGATAGGAAATGGACATAGAAAATGATGTAATATATTTAAAGGGCTGACGAGGAACATAGCTTGGGGGTTTCCAAAATGACATTTGAAAGTAGCTGATTTGCAGAAGCTATGCAAGAGCATTACGACTTTTCCATACTATAAGTACTCGTGAACGAAAGTAGGTTTAAATATGTAGTGTGATGATGAAATAACTTGTTACTAGGCAGGGAAGAGAAGAAATATATATATATATATATATATAAATGCAGTGATAAAAATTTTTCCATCGGATATTGTAACAGCCTAAGGATAAATATTAAAATTCTAACAATCAAAAAATTATCATATCATCGTTACCATTTCAAATGAATCTAATTATTATATTCCTGATTATTTATATCGAATTTTTGTAACACTCGAACAAATAATTTTAATGTTGACAAATTACTTGGAATATTTTAATAAACAGTATCAAACAAAATTGAAGAAATTAATGACGATATTAATCAAGCGAGTATATAAATCGTTACCAAGAAATAATTGAAAATAGTTTTTTTTTTTGTTTTAAGATCAAAAATACTAGTGTGTAATAAATTTTGTTATCAATACATATGAGTAGTTAATCACTCTTTATTAATTGACCCAAATGTATATCGTTCATTAATGCCTGAGGTACTATGTCGTCATTAACAACAAAAACAAATGTTTTGAAATAGTCGTTATTCTGAGTAATAAAATTATTTTAAAAGATTGTTAATATAATTTACATTATCGTGATATAACAATTTTCAAATTAACACGTGAACAATTATCTTGAAGAATTTATTCTCTTTGTTTCCAAATTCTTGGATTAAAATCTATGTGTCTCTAATTCATAATTACTATCATGTTATCTTAAATTGATGCAATCAAATTCTTTAATAAAAAACATTGTTTTTTCAAAATATCGTTATTTTCTTTTGAGAAGTTTGTATTTTGGATTTAAAGTACAAAATCTTATCAGCTTTTACGTTAAAAAAATGAAATTACCACCCAAGAAAATGAAAATTTTGCCTAAACACTTTCCGAAAAATATTCAAGACTTTTCTGATGATAGAGAAAATAACAGAACTCGATAAATTTTTGGTTTTAGTGAAAAAAGAAAAACATATATGTATTATTTTAATTCAAAACAATCGAGAACTTAGTTGGCAAGCTAATTTTTTGAGCAAAAAAGTTGAATTTTTTTTTTAAAAGTGATAATATGAAGACAGCATTTTTCTTGAGTTTAATAATTTTTGTTAATATAGATTTTAAAGTTGGATAAACAAAGTTTAATTCACTGTTATCAGCATGATTCGCTGAAGTTTTTTTTATTGTGTATTTAATAACAATTGAAAAACATAACTCGATTTCTAGGAGTAAGCTGTACAAAATTTCATTTTTTGATCAATTGATTCCATTTTATCTGATATAATAGGTATCATTCTACTTAGACGGTTTTTATCAAAAAACCAATAATTAACTTGTCAGTTCTATTGTCCAACTAAAATATCATTTTTAATAGCCAGCAAGATTTTCAAAAGGACGATCAATGTACGACATTGAAGGATCACTGTATCTGTGTGCTTTTTTTTTATAATTATACTTATATGTATGTATAAGTATTTATACATTGAAAACTTTTTTAGTGAAAGTATACGAAAGAGTTCATTGGTATCTTAAATTTAGCCTGTGGGACCGGTTTGTAATCGATGTTCATTTCGAAACCGTGTTTATAAAATTAAAAAATATTATCCAGACGAAAAAAAAATTCAAATTTATTATTTTTTATTTTATTCTACAATATTTAAGCCAATATGCAACAACTATTTATTGAAAAAATTTTGATTAAATTTTAAATTTAGTGGGTTTTGCATTGAAAATTTAATAACTCATAATAAAGGGATGATTACCTTTTATGCTGCCTGACGACGTATGAGGTGTTTGAGGTGTATGAGATGTAAGGGGTAGCGGCGAACCTGAGGAAGTCGCGGAGTGTTCCAATTTGGAACTCACCGCGCTCCACATTTCGAACATGTTGAACGCCGTGGTGACCGTGCTTGTCCTCGTACTCCAAACTGAATTTCACGCGCGGGCACATATACGTATGTGTGATGTATATGTCGATAAATCACTTTTATTTTCTATTTTATTTATTTATTATCTATATATTAATTTATAATAATATGTCACATGTCACGACAGCGGTGATCCTGCACCGCGATATCAATCACTTTTTTGCGTATTATATTTACAACGAATTATATTGCGTTATTTCGATTTGTACTCTTTCACTCTTGCTCGAAGATTATTAACTGTATCATTATCATCATCCTGAAATTATTCAATTAAAATATATTTTGATGTAATTTTTTTTTTTTTTGGTTTTTAATTGTTTCTCATTTATTATTGAAATCAATTTTAAAACCAGACAACAATGGTCTGTGAGTCAAAAAAAGTTTATTTATAAATGAATATAGGCATTCACGCTTCACTAACCATGAGTATATACAATTTTACTATTTTTTTTTTCTAAAACTTTTAAAAATAGTTGGTAACTTTTGTAAAAGTAGGATAACTACCCTCGGGCAAGTAACGCAGCGCCTTTAACTGTATATGTCACACGGTGGGTATAATTCATTTCTTTCATATTTGTTGATAGCTTTAGGACTTATGTGTATGTTAAAAGTTGTTTTATTAATTTTCAAAAATTTATAGTTGAGAAATTATTAATTGATAGCTTACACTTTATAATAAAAAATACAAGTATCCACACTTTCATTTTGGCAAATCTTAAAAGCAAAATTTTCAAACAAATATTCACTTCTAAAATTTAATTAGCTCTTAACCCTAAAAAATAAGGTCGACTGCCGTAAACCGCATCGAAAGCAGTTAATCTGTTCGAGGGATATCGTTGTCAAAACATTCAGGAGATATCGCAATTCAAAATTTTCAAAAAAGTTTGCTTTCAACACAACTAATAGATTTTCGAGCTCAAAAATGTATAAAAGTTGTATTTTTTAAGACGAAGAACAAAATTTTGTAGTAAGAAATTTTTCGAGCATTTTAAGCTCCAGGGATGATATGCAGGGTCAAGCCTTTTTCAGATTTTTTTTGTAAGTATTCAGCCGAGTTTTCCTTTAAAATTTACTGGAAGTCCGCGAAAGTTGAAAAGCTCTAGGAGTCAGAGTATAATATAAGTACACTTGGATATCGAGCGAATATAAACTCACGCGCGACCACTAAGTAACTCTACCTCCCCTTAGTTCACCTACTTGTGTTGGTCTTCCATACTGTATACTACGGATCCTCTTCAGGGCGTAACTCCCACTGAGCTGATTGCCGGGTACAACTATCTATACCGAGACGTACACGTGCACTAGCGTCTGCACTCAAATGCAATACGGTACGTGCATTTATGGTTGAGTTTGTGATTCTATATAGACTTAGACTAGTGTCTATTATATAGACATCTAGCACGGGAATCTACTTCTCATGTAACCCACCATTTGTATCTATATTTTTATCCATTATTACTATCCACAATATACTCATATATATCCTTATTTTACTATTAATCATTTATTATCATCACTTTCAATTATTAATCAAGTAGTCAAAATTAAAATTGGTCAGACATTGCAAAAAGTTAAGCTTAAATTTTATTATAATATTAATAGTAATAACAGTAATAATAATAATAATAATAATTATTATTATTATTATTGTTATTAATATTATTATTGACAAGGTAGAGATAATTGTGAATGTATGTTGATTTATTAAAGTAAGTAATCGGAGTAGAGATTCGCGATTTGAGTCCCTTAGATAATATCAGTTAACCGCAGTAAACCGCAGAGGGACAAGAAATGGAGCAGGAGCGGCAGTAATGTTGGTTGTGGCACGCTTCATAGAAAGTGAAACCAACGCGCGAATCCAGGACGAGTCGGGAGTGGTGTTCTAGTAGTACAGAGTATAGAGGCTCTGCCGGACTCCTATTCACTCTTATTCTCTTTCTCACTTTACTCCCAACCACGTGGGCTATCGGGACCTTTAAAGCTCGATCCTAGGCGCTCGCGCGACCCACTTTGATCTAATGCAATGTTATGTCTTTTATAGAGTATACTCATTCAATTACTACTGTAAATTTTCGCTACTCAGACGCTTGATACGTTACACTATTATTTTTTTACTCCATTGAAAAAAAAAAAAAACGATTGAATAGCAGTAGATGATTAATTTTTTTGTTATTTTTGAAACTTTTTTTTATATTTTAGAATGTATAATTTTATCCAAATAGAAACGGCTGGTGCTCTAAGTGCCGAGGGAAAGAAAATAAATCCGTTTTAAAATAATTTTTATTTTGAGATATTCATTAAAAAAAAAGTCGCGAGGCGCGGAAGCGTTGCATCGCTTAGCGCATCGCAGGGACTCTATTCGTCGTATGAATTATTTTCGCCGCGGGGGCATCGCATCTTATTTAGGTCGTGTACACGTAGCCTATACTCTATACTAGCTCTGTATATATAGTAATAGTAGATTTAACGAGGCGGCCACCGACGCCACGGAAGTATATAGACCCGGCTTCGCGACGTTGTACTTACTCTAGTCGGCTACAGCCAAGTATCTGTTTTCTTTATTTTTCTTTTTTCATCATATATACGGTATTATATTTCTTTTAGTCCCGACTTTTCGCGACTATCAAAGACTCGAGCATAATTGATTTCACAAAAATATTTTTTTGTTCATAATCATCATAATTATTAATTTTTCAGTAATGCAGCTTACGTAGGTTTACAAATATAAAACGCGTGTGCGTGTTGAGAGTAAATTACTTAATAATATCCATAACTAGGTAGTGTAAAACAAAAAAAAAACGAGAGAAAGCCACGGGAAGAAAAATAATGATCATGATCACAATGATGAAACTAGTATCAAGATAACTAGTTTGAGAAACAATTAAAAATCAATAAATTAATGTAAAAATTTTGATAATTATTTGGAAGTAGAGTCCACAATATTTCAATGATAATCAATTTTTTTTAACAATCATATTTTTTTCTTAAAGTTTGTCAAGTATAGAATAATTGAAAAAAAAAGTTTCTCAAAAATTTCAATTTTTTAATAAAAAACAAATTTTCGAAAAAATTATAACAAAAATTGAAATTTTCAGAATTTTTTTATGCGTAGAATGTAACAGAAAATCTAGAAATCGGTAAGCCTATTTGGGCAGATTTTAATAACTATTTTCGGTTGACATAAAATGTTTGTAATATTAATTGCTTTAAAACTAATTGAAAAATTTATTTTTGACTGTTTTAGATTTAAAAAAATATTAAAAAATGTCTATTTTTGCAAAAAAAATAGAGCGGACTACACTTCCTAATAATTACTGAATTTTAAAACTTTTCAACCCACCAATTTAACAGACACTTAAAAATTATAATAATTCGCTAGAGATATATGATGAAACACAAGTAATAATAAACCAAATTACAATTAAAAATCACTTGTTTTTAAATTAGTAGAACACACTTAAATCACAGATAAATCCCGTTGAAAATGATCGTTGATATAAAACTCGACGATTATTCTTTTACTATCACTTTTGTCGACTCCCAAGTATCATTTAAATCACTAACAATGATAATGATAATAATAATAATAATAATAATAATATAATTACAATTATTTAATCAACAATATATCAATATATTCACTCCATTTTATTGATGGTAATCAATCAGCCTAATAATATTAAGCCATGTTTCCTTCACAGCCTTTGTTTTTTTTTAATTTAATTTAATTTATATCAATAAATATATAAACATATAGATTTATGTACCAAATAGTCTAAATTTTAAATCACTATTTTATACAATAAGAACACAAGATATCTCACAGACACTTCCATATAATTAATATATTTATTTATAAATTCACTAGTATCAGGTACTACTAATAATCGAATTGAATATCGAATAAATGGTATAAACGCACGAGTGTATACTGTTCGTAACTCCCGCTCACTGGCGTCTGTTCACCGCACGTTATTTGTTTGTTATCTCCTCAATATAATAGATGCGCGCGCGCAATTGTACTCTGTCCCCTAACTAATATAACTATATTTCTCTTTCTTTTCTACATACTTATTTCCCTCACTCTAAATTAATGGACATATAATATTAATAATAATAATAATAATAATGTTAATAGTTATTATTGTTTTTTACAGTTCCAGCGGTACACTATTATCTACGATAAACAGACTCAACGTTTATAAAATAAAATTTCCACCCTTAGCGATGATTTAAAAATTAAAAAGGTGTTTGGTACCAGGAAGTGCGTTTTGGAGAACTCTATTTGCCGGTAAGTAACAAGTATGTATAATGTATCGTATCGTGATGTTATGTTACATACTACTGACGATACGACAGTAAAGATAGAAACTGCCTGTTGGCTTCAGAGTTTAGGTCGGGTGTACACGATTCTTACACGACCGAAGCTGATGGTTGACTGGTGCGGCGCAAGACCAGACAGCCCCACCATTATGTTCTCCTCAAGCGTTAGTATGAAAAAAAACGAATGAGAGTGAACAAGTGAAAGAGAGATAGACGTGAGTTATTGTACTAGGGGGTGGGAGGATAAAAAGGTAGGGAAAAAGGGGAAAGGGGAAAGAAAAGAGAGAGAAGGAATTAAATGGCTTAGAGGGTAGCCAGAAGGGTGAAGTGATGAGTTGAAGACTAGAGAAGACATGATGATGCTGATGAGGAAAAAAGAAGGATTGAGAGGATCACTGTTGGGGTAGGTTCTGCTAGTTTTATACTTGCTATATGTATGCTATATACCTTTTTTCAACCCTCGTCGTTCAATAAAGAGAAGCGGAGGGAGCTTTAGATAATGTTTTCTTCGGGGGAAAACCACCACCAGCTTCTAACGGAGCAACGAGAGAGATTACTTGAATGGAATTCTCATGTGGAAGATGACAAGAGGGAAAGCTTAATATTATTCGGACAATTTATAGATATAGATGTATTGCAAGCTATAGATAGTGATAGGGTGATGTAATGGTTCATTCATTACTTGCTGGGTAAATTTATG